GAGAGAGAGAGAGAGAGAGAGAGAGAGAGAGAGAGAGAGAGAGAGAGAGAGAGAGAGAGAGAGAGAGTTATACATAGTGGATTGTTTGTATAGGATTGTTGTTGTTGGTTAGGTGTGAGTTTTTGGTTTGGTTATGGAAATTTGCCACGAATAGGTACAACGTTTTGCATGCGATGGAATGAAAGAGAGAGTGCCGCTCTGTAGAAATGCCACTATGGTGGGCAGTGGGGTTTCCTTGTGAGAAGGTGCAGATTAGTGGAAGTGGTTTTCCTTAAATTGCGAGGAGGCGGGTGGGTTTGCGGGGGTTTTGACCACCGCCGTGCGGGAGGTAGTCGACATCATGCACGTGACCACGACTTACCTGTGAGCATCATGTCTGACCGTGACCCGCGCTTTACCAGCTGATTCCGGCGACGACTCCATGAGGTGTACGGCACCCAGCTCCGCTTCTCTTCGTCTTACCATCCCAGACTGATAGTTAGACGGAGGTCACGAACAAGACTCTCGGAGATATTCTTCGAAAGATTGTTCGTAACGACCAGTAGTGGGATCTCCATCTTGCCCACGCGGAGATAGCCTACAATCATGCCGTCTCGCCAGCCACAGGGATGCCGTTTTACTATTGCGACCTCGACTATCACCCTCGTGTTCCAGCGGTCTTCCTTCGCCCGTCACAGATGCACCCCGACATGAGTTGTCCCGCGCTGGATGATTGGGTTGCACACATGGCGTCGGTCATGAAGACTGCGCATGAGCACGTAACTGCTTCCTAGACTCTCATGGCCACACGTGCGAACCGATCGAGGATGGATCATCCAGTCAAAGTCGGGGATGATGTGCTTGTTGATGTCCGCCACTTACAGCTCGAAGCGGACACGCTTCGCAAGTTCCGGCGTCGTTTCTTCGGCCCATGCCGCATTCTCCAGGCCGTCGGTTCTCATATGGCATCTAGCCTGGTCAGCTTCCGTGTGAAGCTGCCCGACTACCTACGCCATGCTCGTGTGCACGATGTGTACCACGTCTCGTTACTGCATCCCTACCGCAGACTGTGTGAGCGTTTCGCTGGATGACCATACGAGCGCCCTCCATCGATCATGGTTGACGGCTACGAGAAGTTCCTCGTTTCAGACATCATTGGTCGCTGAGTTACCGACGACAACCCTCCTCACGTCGAGTATCTCGTACGTTGGAAGAGTTACCTTGATGAGGAGGGTACCAAGGAGCCCCTCGAGCACTTGCAGCACACTCGCGTGTTGGTGCGTGCCTATGACCATGCTCGTCGAGCTGGGTTGACTGCTCCTCCTCCGTCCACTGACCCTCTTCCTTCTCCCTCGGCTGAGGAGGCCACTGAAGTCGAGCCTGCTCCATCTGAGGCAGACCTTCAGCAGCACCCGGATGCTTCTGAGCGTCCACAACACACTCGTCGTCGTCCTGTTCGATACGACGATTGACTTTGACTTATCTTTCCAAGTCTTTGACTTCTCAGTACTCCATCCACTCCAGTTTTGACACTTCAGCTCGTTGACGTTGCGACTCCTCCTTGACGACATTCCGAACTTCTCATCATGGACGTCATTGGCAGCTTCATGGACTTCGTCACGATCATCTCTGCCTACTTCAGACGTCGTCACTCTTCTACCACTTTACCCTGTACAGTACCCTGGTTGTGTCGCCTGATGGTCTCCCCTAGCCGGGTTCCTCTGAGTTGGGCTCTCCCTTGGTATACGCATAGGCATCGGGACCGTAGCGTTGCCCTGGCTTCCCAGCTTACGGATCCAGCTCTGACTTCCCCCACCTTAGGAGTCATTTGCATGATTCCCTTACCTATCACTTTTTCTACCCTCTGCCGCCCCTTACGCCCTAGTTAGGCAGCCTTGCATGCTTCATCGAGGTGCGCCCAGTATAGCAGGCTCCCTTATTCCCTTGCATGGTCGACTCTCCATAGCGGTTACCCCTTTAGTCGAGCAGTACCCGCCGTGATGGTCTATCTGTTAGGGTCATTGGTTTTGTTCGCTCCCAGTTCCCTACCCTCATTGAGTCTGATGACATGTGTCTCCCTATCATTATGTGTGGATGCCCTTAGGAGTTTATCGACCCCTAGGCTGGATTCGCCACCCTCAGAGACCATCCCACCCTGTGGTTTGCGACACACTCCTCCTGTGACATATGGTTGTCTTGTTGTTGCTTTGTTGCTCTCAGACTGAGGCTACTACCTCTAACATTTTTAGGATTTAGTTGTTTTTGCTTTTCTTGTTCTTAGGACTTATACACTAGTCAACTGTTTCCAGACTGAGGCTACTACCTCCAAAAGTCTAGGATTTAGTTGTTATTACTTTCTGCTTTCCTAGGACATGTATACTAGTTAGTTGCTCCTGCTTTCACTTAGGCTGTTAGTTGTGACATTGCTGTTTTTGTGAAAATTTCTATCCTAGGTTGCATCACATGGACTCAGCATGGAGCTTGCTCTGCATCCTAAACTACTCGGGTTTTCTTTTTCTTTGGTAGAGTTCCGCTTCTTGGTGGAAACGTGCTTGCATCTAGGTGATCCATCACAGGCCGAGGATCGTGTGGCGGACCTCTGGTTGGCTTGTGAGACCAGCCCCTTGGCCTGTTCTCACATGCCTGTGTTGTATTCGGGGTAGTCCAGTCCAGGTCGGTACCTCTGTCGGTACCAGCCAGTCCAGTCCATTGCGGTCAGTCCGGTGGGGTATACCCCAACCAGAGTCTGTGCTTTGGGTCATTCTACATTCGCACAGTTTGGAGTACGTGCGTTGGAGTCTGCGTGGGAGCTGCGTTGTGCCATTTTGCTCCACCCTCATCCTCCATCTCCATCTCTATCCAAGCGGAGCACCTCACCCGGTGGGTCCGCCACAACACGGGCCCCATTTGAGTGCCCCAACTTTTGCTGAGGGCCCCCAAGCCGCGTGCCCATTCGACATGCGCCCTGGAGGCCCACTGCGGTCTTTAGGCCACAAGTACGATTTGAGGCAACACTTATTTCTTTCTTTATTTATTTGCTGTCCTGTTCTTATTTGTTCAGACGTCGTTTTGGACTTGTGTCCCCAAGGCGAGGCCTTGGGCTGGATTTACCAGGAGGCAGGGCCGATCGGGGCCAGGCGCACTTCGGCGCCCTGCTGCATCAACAACATGGTCTGGACACTCGACAGAGGCCCCTACCGTGTGGGCCGTTTGAGGCTACGCTTGCCGCACACCCAATAGGGCCCAGCGCTGTATATAGCTGGGCCACGGCCTGGACAGACACAATTCTGTAGCTCACTTCTTGAGTGACACACTGCTGGATTAGCGCTGCGCTCAGGAGTTAGAGGTAGAGGATAGATAGGCAGAGGGGCGGAGGCCATACCTGCAGTAGCGGACCCACCTGGCTCCTTAGCTGGGGCTCCGCACGCGCGCCACCTGGACACGATGACGACACAAAGACGGTCAGTACGGCGGCGCCTACCTGCAGGTGAGACAACGAGGAGGACGGCATCTTCTTCTTCTTCTTCGTCCAGTCTCCCTCTCGTCTCACTCCTTCCTCGTCCTTCCTCCTCCTTCTTCTTCTTCCTCTTCTTTTTCTTTTTCTTTTTCTTCTTCTTCTTCCTCTTCTTCTCCAGAGAGAGAGAGAGAGAGAGAGAGAGAGAGAGAGAGAGAGAGAGAGAGAGAGAGAGAGAGAGAGAGAGAGAGATTAAAGGTAGAGGTTATAGTGGGCACAACGCCCAGGATCTGATCCGACATTTTTTTTGAGGCAGAACCTTGGTCTTCTCCATCTTCGTCTCGCCTCTCCCCCCATCTCTCATCCGTGGTGTCTCCCCTGTGTGCGTGTACAAGGAGGGACCTTTCTTCTATGTGTGCAGTCCCTCCTCCTCCTCTCACATGTGTGGTGTGCGATGGGATGTCGCGTCAGTCCTTTTCAGGTCAGGGCTTATCTTTGAGTCTTCCATTGCGTTACTTCGTGCCATTTTGTATGTATTGAGATGTACATTGCTTGTTGATACTTCACTGACATTGCATTGTCCATTTCAGTCCTTTCATCACTTTGCGGATCCTTGGCTCCATACACTGCCCACCTGGGCATGTGTCAGTGTGTCGCTGTGAGAGTGACAAAGTCCTTGATGCACTAACCTTCTTTTGTTATGTGGCAAAAGTCGCACAGGCTCTGTGAGAGTCACTAAGTCTATAATGCGCTGAGCTGCTAATTCATGCGGGTGAAGCCGCACTGGCTCATTGTTATTTGTTGTTTGAATAAGAGAGGGGAAGATAAGGAGGAGGAGTTGGTTGGCGAGTGAAGGGGGAAATGTCATTGGTCTTTTGCTGGTGTACATCTTCTTCTTTGTCTTTCTTTCTTCTTCTTCTTCGTTGGTCTCTCCTCTCAAGTTCATTAATTTCTTTTGCAATTGGATGACATTGTACTTCCTTGTGTTTTTGCAATTCGGAATTGGCAGGATCGTAACGCAGAAGAAAAAGAATGCAAAACCAGCGACAACCAATCTGGAGGGACCACTCTTGTGACCTGTCCATAACAGAAAGAAGAAAAAAAATGAAAAACCCTTGATGACCAATCTAGAGGGCGTTTCTTGTAGTTTCCATAGCAAGTCAGCATAGCGATGCTTGGACATCAAACTTGGGAAGACTTCCATCGAGGTGTGTATTTGAGTGAGTTTCCGCGGCGCTGCCCTGCTGAAGTAGGTCCCTTGTTAAAGTGAGCAGCAGCAGCGTTCATTTGCCAGTGAAGCAGGACCTGTCCTTGGCAACGCATCCCATTGCCGATCTCTGGGTGCTTTACTCATCGTCGGTATTGCCACTGTTTCTGTGATGAGTCCCTTTGCAACTCCTTGCTGCGGATGATCACTCTCTGTTGCTGCTGCAAACTACCATGGTCGCTGGTTTCGATCCTTCGTCATGTAATGGCATATTACCTTCACCACTATCCACAATTGTCATTTCCTATTGTCCTGCTAACGGTTCCTATCTCTCATTGTATTATATGTATTTGTAGCGCCGTTCTTGCCAACTGTTGCATTGTTTGTTGCTGCTTTTGGGGTAGATTATTGTTATTTTTTCTTTCCCGACACCTTGAAATTTATTTCATCAAGCGCCACTCGTGCGTGATTGCCTAAATCTGCATGCTTGCTGCCAGCTTTGATTCTCTCTCCCTCCCTCCCTCTCTCCCTCACAGTTTTGATGGCTCTGGCCAGGATGTAGTTGACTTAAAAATTGGTGCACTGCTAGTCGCCTGATTTGATGTCTGGTCTGCTGGTCCTTGTGCAGGCAGAATCGTGCAAAGCGGTTGTTTGTCTGGAGCTTGCTTGCTCAGAGTAAGTGATGACACTCGCTCAACCTACTTCTGACCGTTTTACCTTTGATTTTTTTTCATAAATATGCATGGCTTCCTCAGTGTGAGTTTACTTCCCTGAAACCTCCTGCAGGTTTTCTTCAAAAGAAATAAATCTAGTAATCACAAAGCAGTTGAAAGCACCATACTTGAACGAGGTTGAGGAAGCAAAAGACAAACCTGCATGCACGGAAAAAAGAAGAAGGGAAAAAAAAAGAGGCATGGATGCAAATACAGAGGCACAGTAAATGCATACTGCTCGAAGCAGAAAGAAAACGGCCAAAACGCCAAGTTAGTATGCATGCCCATCAGACAACTGTCCTTCTTTATTGGATGGCTAGTTATGACATCCTATATGGCCTTGTCCCTGCTAAGGTGTTGTGATGCGAACCTCGTCGTTTAAATCAGACGTCAATGTAGTGACTCCTATCGTACCAGTTATGCCCTTATGCCCATTGCAGCGGAAGTTCCCTCTTCTTAATTTAATAAATTAGGGTTCTGAGAATAGGCTCCCTCATGTTTGTAGTGTATACAGCAGATAGACAAATTGCTAAGGATCCGATATCCAGAAATTGTTCTAGGATTGTATGGTTCTATCCTGGAAACATGGTACTTCTTTGCTCGCCAGAGCAGATGTGAAGCCAATCTATCATCAGAGTCACTTGGTTTCAGGCGTCCTGACCCCTTGCTCCCCAAGCTCATCTGATTAAGTGTACGTCCAGGGCCCTTTGTTGGTTCCCTCTCTTTCTCTCCCTCCCTCTCTGATGCATACTTGGAAGAAATCCGAGTGATGCCATGGAGCCAAAGGACCAGCAAAGTGATGATAAGGACTGAGACTCGCATCAGAAAAACGATGTTGCTTTACAAAGATGCTAAATTTCAACAACGTTGGATCTCTGAGATGAAATTATTGAATCCTAAATTTTCGGAACAGATTGACTTGATATTGCAATCAAAACAAAAACTCAGAGAATGATATAGTCCATTTTTTATTTAAATTCAAAATGACCCTGGTATTCCATGCCGTAAACGATGAGTGTTGGTCCTTGGTCTATGCCCGAAGACAATGTGAGATCATACAATCACGAAGTAAGGCAATGTAGCACAGCGGAAGACTTGAACTCACGACCTGACTCACGGACTGAGACCCCCATCATCAACACACATGTGATAGAAGAGGAGGGACAAACACGGAAGAAAGGTCCCTTCTTGTACACACACATGGGGGTGTACACCATGGATGAAGGGAGGTGAGAGGAGCAAGACAAAGATGGAGGCGAGGGAGTAGACCAGATTCGCAATAACACTGTCCAAGAATAGTCTCCCTGTCGTGTCCAACCAATGTCTGCCCCTGCAATGTCGAATCAGTTCCTGGGCACCATAGCCCGAAATAGCCTCTGCCTGTAACCAATCTCTCTCTCTCTCTCTCTCTCTCTCTCTCTCTCTCTCTCTCTCTCTCTCTGTGAAAGAAGAAGCAGAAGCAGAAGGAGAAGAAGAAGAAAGATGATATGGAGGGTGGAGCCAGGAAGAAGAAGAAGGAACGGCCCTCCTCTATCACCTGTCTCACCTGTAGGGATGCTGCTGCCACAAACTGACCAGCTGAAGTGTCTCTCTGTACTGCAGCTCGCTAGAGAAGGAACCAGCTATGGCGCCCTGGTAAGCCCACTACCCTTCGCATGTATGGCCACCAACTCCACACCTCCTATCGACCTCCTACGCCTCTACCTCTAACAAAGCACTCAGATTGTGCGCTGCCGCAGCAGCGTGACGCCCACACAATGCGGACTACTGAATGCCCAGCACTGGTCTGGCCCAGCTGGATATAGCGCTGGGCCTGGCTGGGTCTCCTGTGGTCGGCTGCCAGGACCGTCCGATCTAACATCCGATAGGCGGTCCTGCATGCAGCCCCAGTCCTGGTGCTGTAGTCAGGACAAAGTACCGGGCTGCCCGGGTCACTACTGGACATCCAGGTCATCCTGGTGATGCAGCAGGGCCTCTGTGCTGAACCTGGTCCCTCTCAGCCTTACAATGTGGACCAGTGGTCCATACAGACACGGATCTGTTCGAACATGCTGAAAAGCCTGAAATGACACCATGGGCCCAGACAAAAATAGACCAGGCGAAAGGCTCAGCAAGAATAAATGAATGAATAATGAAACAAATAAAGAAAGCAACAAATAAACAAATGCTGAATCTATTGGAACGCGTGTGGAACTAAATGCGTGACACGCGTGAAAAAATGGTCGTGGGCCTCCATGTCATGCCAGCTGAAAATGGGTGTGGCCTGGGGCCCCCAGCAACCATCGGGCCCCAAAACGGGGCCCGTGTACAGGCGCCAGCATGCTACACCCTCCCCCTCCCTAAGAAGCCAAGCCAGGGCGAGGGCGAAGCTGACAGTCTGAAGGTGGAACCTGAACGCGTATGCGTCGTCTTGGCTGGCTGCTCGCGTTCGTATTGTGTGAGGACGTCGGGCGCGGTGGCCTGAAGTTCCACAGAGGTCAATCCTATGGCTACAATAAGAAAAGTGCACCAAGTAGTCGATCGGCTTGTTGCTGTAGTGCCGCTGCGAAAGGATGCCGCTGACCTCCTGAAAACCATCCATGGAAGGAGGATCCTGTGATCGTTGCTTTGGAAAGTCGTATCGTTTTGCCGAAACGAAAGGAGCGGGCTTGGAACAATGGAAGACTGGGTGGACAGGCAAGTGGGCGGGTACCTCAACCACAAGCAAGGGCCGTCCTGTTCGTCACGAGCGAGCTTGGTAATCTGCTAAGGCCAATCCATTTCAGAAGGAGCTTGCGAGAGATGTCTTGCTCAAGGCTGAATTCCGTGGGGGAGACCCCAAAGGTCGCCTTTGCGGAATGGGCAAGGAAGACGCTGGCGATTGGCTTGACGACTCGTGCGTTTTTGCATCTTTGACATCTGTTTCCGTGCCTTGATAAGAAGCTCTTGCATCCATCGAACGAGGCATTGTGGTCGTCACTCTCGGCCGCCCGTGGAATGATAGTGTCGATGGGAAAGCTGCCCAACAAGCCATGCTCGAACTCAAATGGGGAAAGGTCGATAGCCGGGTTGATGGATGTGTTGTTGTAAGCCAACTCAATGTCTAAAAGGCGCTTGACCCAATCCTTCCGATCTGAACGGACGAGAGTGCGAAGAAGAACCTGTGCGGTTTGGTGCGCTCTCTCCGCTTGACGGTCTGTGTCCGATTGACGAATGTAACTCGGCTTAAGGGACGATCCCCATCACTTGACGAGACCAGTCCAAAAAATGGACGTGAACCAAGTGTTGCGGTCACACACAATTTCCTTGGGGTAACCCTTGGTGCGTATCCAACTGCCAAAAAGAACCTTGACCGACTCCAGTGCCTTGGCGTGATAGTGACAAGACGAAAACATGGTGAACTTGGTGAGCCGGTCCACTGCCGTGAGAATGCCATCGAAGCTGGACTTATGCTACCGAAAATTGTCTGGTGATGTCTATGGCAATCGATAAAGGTCGCAACTCACCAAACAGACGATGCTTGCAACGCGGCCAAACCTCGTATGACTCGCAATAGTGCGTCACATCGTCGAGAAGGTCGGGCCAATACAAGCGCTCAGGAGGTCGGCCAATCATGTGATTGACGCCAAAGTGTCTAGTGGCAGGAGCATCATGAAACTCGCCAAGAAGCTGTGTATGTAAGTGTTGAGCACACGGCAAGCAAAGATGATCCTTCCCCGTTGAATGCACGAGCAAGTACCCCACTTCGATCAGATAGTTCGAAGGCGAAAATCGGGGTTGGCGTGGTAATCGCGGATGAAACTGCTCCTCAAGTCGTCGTCAATCTCAAAGGTAGAGTAGATTGTGGTGCAAAACTCCGGAAGTCGTGAAAGAGCGTCCACGAAACGACTTGACTTTCTCGAGATGTGATCGGGGAAGAAGTCTAAGTGGTCGATGAAAGCCATCCAATGGGCGATCGTGCCATCGACCATATCTTGGAACTTGTAGAATACGAACGAGTTGTTGTCCCACCGAAATTGGCGTTGGCCGAGAAGGAAATGTCGCCATCTCTTGCATGCATGGATGAAGGCCAACAACTCCTCCCGCGCATCGTGAATAGAATGGACGGGTGACACCCTCTTGCTAAAGTAGTCGATCGGATGCCAATCCTCACCGTTGTATTGCGCGAGGACGAGACCAGTACCATAGCGGGACGCATCGGTAGTGACGCGAGTCGGGAAAAGCGGGCCGTAGATACACAAGACCTATGCTGATAGCAACACGACTTTGAGAGCCGTAAAGGTAGTCCATGCCTCATCGTCGAAGTGAAACGGCCAATCCTCACATTAAAGCTTGGGCAAATGTGTCGTGATCTTTGAGTAACCCTCGATGAAGCGTTGGTAGTAGCCGGGGAGTTTGAGAAACGAACGAACGCAGGTGACATTCGTCGACTTTGCCCAATCGTGGACGACTTGGATCTTGTCTGACAACGGAGTAATCTCCTCCGGTGTGACGAAGTGGCGCAAGTACTCCAACTCTTGACGTACGGACTCGACTCGCACTTGCCATGGTTGGCCTTGTATTTGGTGCGGTGAAGAGTCTTCAACACGCGTCGAAAATGGTCAAGATGTTCCTCCAAGGTCTGGCTATAGATGAGGATGTCATCCAAGTAGACCAGCACGAACTGGTTCAACATAGCGTGAAACTCATTGGTCATCGCCACTTGAAAAGTCGCGGGGGCATCGGTGAGGCCGAAAGGCATGACAACCCTCTCAAAGTGCCCTTCCCGCGTCTTGAACGTGGATTTGTAGCGATCGTGCGGGCGGATCGAGATTTGGTGATAGCCTGACTTTAGGTCCAACTTGGAAAAGCTCCGCGCACCGCCCAAACGCTCAAGAAGATCATTGATGCGAGGACGAGGCCTCACATTTTTAACGGTCTGCACATTGAGCTTGCGGTAATCGATGCGAAGACAAATATCCTTGTTCTTCTTTCGTACAAAGA